GTGTAAACAAGTCTATTTTTAAGTGTGAGGTGGTTGGGGAGGGTGAGCAGCCATGGGCCGGGCTGCCCTGCACCAGCAGGGCTTAGCATCAGGGCTCCAAGTGCAAGTTTCTGCCTTCCCCTATTGTCTTCTAGAGGGGGGGGCAACACCTCCTCACAACGCCAGTTGTAAGCAGGAGCAGCTCTGCAGCAGGAGAGGTGCGGTGGGGACCTTGCGGGCTACGCCTGCTCCAGCGCCCCCAGGGACAGGACCCTCTCCCCAGCACCTGCCCCACTCTGTAAGCCCCATAACCCCCTTTTCTTGCTCCCTCCCAGCAAACGTGAAAGCCACCAGCCCACTGCCCATCCCAGGCTGTCAGGACCCTGCCGTGATGGAGGGAGATGCCACCCTGGCCCCGGTCCCATGCGAACATCTCAATGGAGGCCTGAAGATGCTGAGACCACCCGGCAAAGCGGGGGCAAAGCGGAGGCCATGCTACCAGGGTGATGCCGATGGCGACATCATCCTGCTCTCCACCGTGTACCCCCGGCACGAGGAATGCAACCACGGCTTCCCGCTGCCTGCCACAGAGTTGGGGGCCACAGCCCTAGTCACCACCAAGACCACCCAGAACTGTGCCTGAGATGAGAGAGCCTGAAGGTGGGGGGAACGGGGCTGGAGCCTGAGGCAGGCAAAGCCTTGCATCCATGTCTGCAGACCGGGTTTTGCCTCGAGCAAGATGAGTGTTCTGCCCTTCTCCACTTTCCCATTTGTGCCGAGCTGCAGGTTACACTTGTAAGCACTGGAGGAAGCTGGAATGGATCGTGCTGAGCTATGCCAAATGCTGCCATGGCTGTACCATTAGGAGGAGGCAGAGGAGATTCATCTGGTGAGGACAGAGCATGGCAGGGGCTGCTGTGCCATTTGTGAGGCTGCTGTTGTGGCAGGACAGATTGGCTGCTGAATGGGTGATTCCTGTGGACTTGAGGGTGCAATAGCAGAGAGATGGTGGTGGAAGGAAGATGGAGAGGAAAGCAGGGAGTTACGCTGGGACCAAATCCTACATCACTTCCCGTTAGCTCAATTTTTGCTACTGATATCAGTAGAAGGAGGTTTGGGTTCCATATGGAGCAATGCACATCCAGCATTTACTCCATTCCCATCCTGTTTCCCATGTCTTCTGCAAGCTGTAATATCCAGAACTCTCATCCTTCTGGGCACTCTCACACAGTGGCAGGCATCCACTGGCACTCATGGGAACCCCCTTTTCAGCTGGGGATAGGAAACAAGTCTATTCCCAAGCAGGCAGTAAGGGAGGAAAGAGCTTGAAAAACATCTGTCTGCTCTGACCTACAGTCACTGAGTTCAGGGAGGACCAGGGGCAGGCAGACTGCTGGTCTGGAGGAGCTCCACGAGCTTGTCACTACGGTCCCAGACAACCATCACTTCGGCTCACTGTGGCTGCGGAAATACCATGTGTCACTTGGGATGGATGTTACCATGCTGTGCAAAACCAGGCAGAGAGTGATGCGAGCATAGGCAGGATGACTTTATTTGTGTGAATGTCTCCAAAGCTTTGCCTGTGTGCCAGACCTGGCCAATGTTGCTGGTCCAAGGCATTTTTCTGGCCTTTTTCACCTGCCCGCATGTGGCTTTACTGTGCAGGAAGGGCTCTGCTTCGGAAAGGAACTTATTAAAGTGGGAGTGCTGTTCCCCATAATGATGGCAGCTGATCCCCTGGCTGAACAAACCCAGGCCAATGGGTTGGGTGAGAAGCCCTGGTGGGCCCGGAGGGGGTGGTTGGGCAATTAGAAGTGCCTTGACAGGGTTATTTGGTTATTGGTGCGAAGCACCATCTCAGTGGCAGCCCAGCTCTTTGTTTGGTGAGGTGGCTTCCTCAGCCAGGTGCCTTTGGGGACTGAGCAGAACAAGGTGTTGGAGCACTGCCTCCAAGCACCAATGGGCCATCAAGGGCCACAGCTCATGGTAGGGTTGCCCAGTGGCACTGTGCAGATGGAATGTCCCTCTGATGATGGGAAGGTATCTGCCTGCTCAAGCCTGAGCTCTCTGCTGGGGCTGAAGGACCAGGCACTGCTGTGGAAGGGTGACCCTCCCTCTTCTCTCTCCCCTGGCACTAGACCTGGACTCACAGGATCCATCCCAAAAGGTGAGCCACAGGTGCCAAGGCCCAAATTCCTCATCACGACTCCTCTCCCAGACCTAAATGCGCTGGAGCTGAGTCTTCATCTGGCTGAGGCCCTGCATGGCCCAGGATGGGATGGGAGGGGATGGGTCCCCATCTCAGCCTTGGGACTGAGGATAGTGGAGGGACTGGTCTACGTGCCCAGCGACTGCCTCCTGGCTCTCTGGCAGGAGCTGCTGAGGCTCCAGCACTCCCAGTTACCCACAGCAGCCATGCTGCCTGTCGCAGGAGGGTTATCCCTGCAGCACAAATTGGAATCTCCTCATCTATGCTCCACATTGGGCACTGTGAAGTGACTTTGAGCAACCTTTGTGCATCCATGCGGTGGGGAAATGAGCTGAAGCCAAGCCAGGGGACATTTTAGCTCTGGAAGGACTGCCTGTGGGAGGCAGAGCAACCTGCTTCACTGGAGATGGTGATGAGAGGGAAGTGAAGCAAGACTGTCAGGAGCATCTCCCGTTGCAGCTCAGCCCTGCAGATGCACCACTCACCCTGGCCTGCATGGCGATTTGGAAAAGCAACTGCCATACAACCCTGTTGAAAAAGCCCCTCTTTCTGCTCAGGTAAGGGCTTCTGCTCTCGTTTCTACTAGAGCTTCAGCCAGGTGCCTCCTCTACAGGACACCACCAGCATCTGCAGTTCGCAGAAGTGGCATTTTGATCCACATTGGATTCCTCAGCCGGCGAATGCCCCTGGGATCCCCTCTCTGTTACGGCGTGCAAGGCACCTTCCTCACATCCTGCCTGCCTGCCTGCCAGTCATGGTGGGACATTGCTCCCTCCTGCCCAGCCTGCCTGGGCCCAGGAGGGATTTGCAACCCTCTGTGTGTGTGTGTCTCCATCCTTATGTACAGGACAGGGAGCTGTCTGTCTGTCTGGATGCATGGAGAGCAGAAGGAATAGAGATGAAAATATGATTGTAAAAATGAAATAATAAAGTGATCCCATTGCTGATGTGTGCTCAGGGGTCTGTACGGAGTGCCCTTCCCACAGGCTTCAGGGCTCTCCAGCACTGTGGTCCTGGAGGTACAGCTGGAGAGGCTCCATCTGCACCAGCTTCACCAGCATGTCCCCTGCTCACAGCCTGGTTGGGGACCAGCCAAGCCCGGCCACCTCCATCCCCCCATGGCAACCCTGGGAGCTGTTTGGAAGGATGAGGAGTGGGACGAGTGTGGTTTTTGGGGGGTGTTGCCCGTCTTTGACTTTCCACAGCAGTTTCTCACTTCCCCCTGTGAGCAGGAGCTGTGCTTCCTCCCGCCCCACAGCCTGCCCCCCTGCCGAGAAGGGCTGGTGAGACCAGGCTTCACCGGGCCACAGCAGTGTGGGGTTTCGGGGAGAGCCAGGGGAAAGTCTGAGGAAACCCCAAGGCAGGAGGAAGGAGACAAGGCTAAAACCCTCCTCGATGCAAATCCAGCTCAGGCTTACCTCTAGCTATTTCAGCCCCACCACCCTCCGTGCAACAGGGTCACAGGAGTATTTGAGCTCCTGCAAGTCCCATCAATGATG